CAAGCCTGTACTTTGTTACTTTTACTTGAGTAAAGAAGTTTAATCAGTACTTCCACTTTTACCAGAGTATTTTTTAACACAAATATCTGTACTTTTACTCAAGTACGGAAAGTGAGTACTTTTGCCATCTCTGTTGATATTACACAATTTCATGCAATATATATAATTAGGGGGTCCCCACTCCATCTTGCCATCAGTTTGGGGGTCCTTGGCCTGGAAAACGTTGAAGACCCCTGCCTTAAAAGACATTATGAGCTTAGCATGGGTAAAGTTTTGAAAACAGGAATAGTTTGGTTTGATTCAATGTCAGACAGAGAGGAAAATAATACGTATGTATTTTTCTACAATGTATGTGGATATACCTAGACACATGGACAGAATTTTGATTTAGACCTTTACAGGTGTAAACAATCAAGGATTTCCTAACTCTTGGACATTTAGTTGAACGTTGATCTTTGGTCAAATGGCATTAAGATCAGTCTTTTGGTTTCAAAATACTGGAGGTGGGGTTTGGGTAAAATAAAGGCTAATCTGTGGGAAAGCTGTTAGACTTTTATCTATATTCCATTCAGTCTAGTGGAGGATCCTTCCATGTAGGCTCCAACCTTGGTAGATATTATACAGTAAATGACAACCAAGTACTGTCTTACCAAAAAAGTGATACTACAGCCGTAACAGCCATAGTACTAATTAAGCACAAAATGTTTTTGTAAAGATAAAACATTTTTCCCCAAAAGAATAAATAACTCAAATTACAGGTTGGATTTATCAACAATTTTGCTTTTAGATTTAAGATATTTTTTCTGTAGTAAAAGATTAACTTGTTTTTAGGATTTTTAAACACACCAACACATTGTTCTGTGTCTATAGTTTATTAAAAGATATGATAGGAAAACATTTTTAAACCACTGTAAGCATTGGATAAAAATTGGCTCACATACATCACAGTGAGTAAAGATAGAAAATCTCTAATAACCCAGTGAGAAAAGATTTGCTTTGAAAAAAAATGAGATTGAATTTCTTTTCTTCCCTTTTCAGACCGAAACACTTTATTTATTTAGATTCTGTCTATATCCATTTTCATCCACCAAAGGTGACCATGCTAAAGTAAAAGAATGAGATGTTAGTCATTTTCTTTTCCTTTAACACATGCAAAATTAATACAGTGAATACACTGGTACTGTTAGGAGCAGAAGGGGCTATTGATTTTTGAACAGCTTGATCCTTTCCTAGATCAACAGTGGATTAATGTGGGTTCTTTTATGATGTGAAGGATTGGCATTAGTATGGGGGGGCACCACCTTGTTAACGTGCCTTATAGTGTGTCAAAGGTAAACCTTGCACAGGGTAATTTTGGATCAGGTTCCTGTCTAAGAGAGGGACCAATCCTTTATTGTTTTTCTTTACTGAAAACATATTGTATACATTGTTTAAGGGATCATATTTTAAGACTTTAAACAGGACTGTTGAAGTCATTAGAAAAATTACACCCATCTGTCAATCCCCCCCATTCACAGATCAGTGAGAATTTTGGGTCTATCACACACAGTGCCTTGAGATTTCTCATATGTCACATTAAAAGTTAATGTTTTTAATGTATCTTATCTGGGTTCTATGTGTTAGAGGTATTCCGCATTTTTGAAGTGAAAGAAAAAGAAACATGGGGTGATATTTTTTGACAGGAAATTCCTTGAATTCAGGGCCCTTTACTTTTACAGGCACTGAGGTGGCAGCATCATGCTGTGGGGTGCATTTCTGTAGTAAGGACAGGAATGCTGATAAAAGCTGATGGGAATATAAAAAGAGCCAAATCAAGGGTAACATGTAAGAGAATAATTTAGAATCATCACAATATTTCACACACAACAAAACTATTGTGTCCTACTCCCAATTGAAAATATATGTCATGTTAAGGCATTAAACACAGGCTAATT